CTATCTCACTCTGATCGGATCCCAGTCGGGGTAGATCCATCTGTAATAGGACTCCAGTAGAAGTGGACCCACCCCGAATAGCATCCTATCAGAGGTGGGTCCGTATGTAATAGGGTCCCATTAGAGGTGGACTCATATGTAATAGCATGCCATTAGAGGTGGATCCATCTCTAATATCATTCAATGAGAGGGGGACCCATCGGTAGTCCGATTCTACTCGAGGTGGACCCACCTATGTTAGGATTCCGTGTGAGGCGGATCCATCTGGAAAAAGTTTCAAGTTAAGGTGGGCCCATCTCTCATAGGATGCCATTAATTGTGGATCCAACTGTAATCGGATTTCACTAGATATTGTTCCATATGTAACAGGATTATATTTGAGGTGGACCATCTGTAATACGATTTTATTAGAGGTGGACCCAGCTGTATTAGGATTCTATTAGATGAGTATTCATATGTAGTAATACTATATCCGAGGCGGACTCGTTTGAAATAGGACCCCATGAAAGCTGGATCCCTGTTGTAACAGGATTGTATGAAAGGTGGGTCCATGTCCCATCGGATTCCATCAGGTGTGGATACATGGCTATTTCGGAATATATTAGAGATGGGCCCACCCGTACTGGAATTCTACTAGAGGTGGGCCCATATGGTATAGGATAATATTAGAGGTGGGACTATCTGTCGTAGGATTTTATTAGAGGTGGATCCGTCCGCACTGGGATTTCATCAAAGGTGGATCCATCTCCAATCGGATTTTGAAGGAGGTGGATCCATTTCAACTCGGATTTTATTCGAGGTGGGTCCATCTCTACTAGGATTCCAGTCGATGTGGATCGGTTTGTCATCGGGGTCCTTTAGATTTGGATCAGTTTCTAACAGCACGCCATTGGATATGGAATCGTCTCTATTCGGATAATACTAGACGCGGGTCCATCTGCAATTGGAAAGCATGAGAGAAGCAGCCGTCTCTAAATGGATTCTATCAGAGGCGGATCCATCGCTAATAACCTGCTATTAGAGGTGGATCCAAATGCAATAGGATTATATTAAACGTGGGGTCCATATGTAAAAGCTTTCTAATAGAGGTGGACCCATCCGTACAGGATCCAGTTCGAGGCGAATCCCCCTCTCATGGGATGTCATTTGTTGTGGATCCGTATGTAATAATATTCGAATGGAGGCGTATCCATGTGTGATAGGTTTCTATGAGAGGTGATTCTATATGTAGACAGAGTTTGTTACGGTCGGATCCATTCGTAATCGGATACTATGGAAGGTGGATCCATATGTAGTAGGATTCTCCTTGAGGTGGACCCATCTGTAGGGCGATTCTATCAGGGGTGGGTCCATCTGTAATGGGATTCTATCCGAGGCCGATCCATGTGTAAACCGATTCTGCTAGAGGTAGATCCATATGTAAGAGGGTTCCGTTAGAGGTGGGCCCATCTCCAATAGGATTCCGGCACCATTTCTATTCGGAACCCGTTAGAGGTGGATCCGTCTCCAATAAGATTCTATTAGAGGTGGATCCATAGGTAAACGGTTTCTATCAGAGGTGGGCCCACATGTAATGAGATTGTATTAGAGGTGGGCCCATCTGCAATATGATTCTATCACAATTGGATCCATGTCTAAACGGACCCCATTACATGTGGACCCATCTCTAATGGGATCCTATCAGAGGTGGATTGTTCGCTACTAGGACCTCATGAGCAGTGGATAAATATCCGGTCGGATTCCATGAGGAATATATCCAATAATAATACGAAACGATTAGGAGGTGGACCCATATGTAACAGGATTATATTAGAAGTGGATCCACATGTAATGGGATCCCATTAGAAGCGGATCCATCTCTAATGGGATTCTATTAGAGGTGGATCCATCTCTCATCGGCTTCCATTAGAGGTGGATCCACCTGTAACAGGTTCCCAGTCGAAGTGGATCCATCTCTGTTAAAAGCCCATTAGAGGTGGATCCACATGTAGTTGGGTGCTATCAGAGGTGGACCCATCTCTGAAAGGACTCCATTAGGGGTGGATCACACTCTGATAGGATCCCATTCGGAATGACCATCTCTGATCGGTTTCCATTTGAAGTGGATCCATCGGACATAGGATTCCATTAGAAGTGGATCCATATGCAGTAGGATTAGATCAGAGGTGGATCCAGATGCAATAAGATTATGTTAGAAGTGGACCCATATGTAGTAGGATTCTCTTTGTGGTGGATCCACCTGTAGTTTGAATCCATTAGAGGTGGACCCATATGTAATAGGATCCTACGAGAGGAGGATCCACCCAATAGGGTTGTTTATATATTATTTTAAGAATCATCCACTGTAGCAATCCCTATATACTCCCCAAACAAAAATCCTATTGAAACCCAACCAAAACGGAATCCTTTTGCAATCCGTCGCAGAAAAGAAATCGACCGCAATCGTCCGCAAGAAGAATTATATCTGAATCCTCTGCAGAAAGAACTATATCGCAACCTTTTACTAGCACCATATCTTCGCAACTCTTCACACAGAAGAAATCCTAGTGAAATGCGCCACAAACGGGGATCCGTGTGTGGCGGCAAGGAAAAGTTTGGGTCCCGATGAGAGAGAGAGAGAGGGAGAGAAACAAAAAGAGAGAAACAGCAAAAGAAAAGCCGCAAACAGAATCGCCCACAGAAGTGATCGCCCACAAATGGAACCCGATTGAATCCTCCACAAAAGGAATCCCATTGTAATCCCACGCAAAAGGAATTCGATTGTAATGCACCACGAATTGAATCCTATTGTGGCGGCTAGCAAAAGTAGGGAGTTCCGAAAGAGGGGGGGGACAAAAACGCAGTTTTTTTTTGTTTGTTTCTCCCCCCGCCGACAAAAAAAACTGTTGTGTTTTTTGTCTGCTCCCCCTCGGAGGTCCCCGCTGGCCGCCACAAAAGGATTCCTCTCGTGGCGTATTACAAAGAAGCTCCTTCTGCACAAGACTCCAATCGGACCCGCCCCCCTTTGCGGCCGACCGAAGAAGAAGAAGAAGAAGAAGAAGAAAAAGAAGAAGAAGAAGAAAACAACAAGAACAACGAGAGAAATAGCTCGGGAACCTCTGGAAGTGGAGCCGCCCGTCTTGGGACGACCTTTGGGGCCTCTCGGGCCGCCTGGGGCCCTCCTGCTCCGACCCCACCCGGGAGGCCCCGGCCAGGCACGGCCACAGAGATCCCCCAGGCGGGCGTCGAAACGGAGCCCGCGGGCCGTCGCCCCGCACCGGGGGTAAACCTCGGGGCCCGCGGGGGGGCGGCCGCAGGCGTCCGGGGCCGAGCGCGGACGACATCAGGTCCCGTCGGCATGCCCCGACTCCCCAGTCGGCGTGCCCCGAGCCTGGACGACATCAGGTCCAGTCGGGGCGATCTTTGGAGACGAAGCTGGGACGAGGAGAAACTCGGGCACGGAGAAATCGAGAGTATCTGAGATCTGTCGGATCTGGGGGGACGCATCGGGCGCCGCGGCATTCTCAGAGCGTTCTGGAACGCTCTGAGAGCGTTCCGGAACGCTCTGGAACAGATTTATTCTCGTCCTGGCCGTGCCCGATTTTGGGTCTTCTTGGGCGCTCATCAGCCCGGAAAACAAGAAGCAACACCATATTAAATGACACCCCTGCGGAAGACGACACTGAACAGCTCCACCCAGTCACGATGGGGGCCACGATGGGGGTCAGGATGGGGGGGCAGGATGGGGGGACCGGGATAGGAACGGGGTAGGAGCAGGGGCACAGGGCTGGGGATGTCAGGATGGCTAGGATTGGAATCGGGTTGGGGATGAGGAATGGGGATAGGGACGTGTCGTATAGGGACAACATGGGTTGGGATGATAGGGGCAGGTAGAAGGAAAGGGGGTGGCAATGGGCGGCCACGGGAGGCTCAGGGGAGGCCACGGGAGGCAGCACGAGGCGACGGGGGGCCACGGGACAGCAACGAAAAGCCACGGGAGGCAACCCTGGAGTCAACGGGAGGCGACGCCGCCCGATTGATCCTAGATCCGTCAACGCACCCATTGGCTTCTTCAGTTGATCGACCTCAGGGGAAGGGGGTCCTCCTCCTCCTCCTCCTCCTCCTCCTCCTCGTCATCCTCCTCCTTCTCCCCTCCAACTTCTGGTGGTAGTGGTGGTGGTGGAAGACAGGCCCATCTTCAGTAGAATCGACCTTCAGAACCCTGACAACAGACAAACTCTTCAGGTAAAGAGCGCACAACTCTCGAGTGTGGCTGGCCTTCTCGGCTGGCTCACTGGATCCTCAGGACGGCCCCAAGAGGACACGGGACAGCTCCAAAACGGAGTGCCTTGACGTCGTCCAAAGCCGTGAGATAAACTCGCGGTCCTAAAGGGGCTGACCGGAGGGATCTGCGACAGCTCTCAGGGCGCTGGGGCCCTCCCGGTTCCTCACTGCTGCACCTGAGGCCCTGGCCTGGGCCCTTTATGAAATCTGTGTGCACACATGCGCACGTCCATGTGCAGAAAAAAAACACCACATGTGGAACGTGCCTTGATTGGGCTACGTTTGCTTGCGGCACCGCTGTGCAAAGTGTTGTGGCGGTGATCCAACGTTTATTGTACACTGAACTTTCCCCCATCGATTGCTGTGGCGTTCGGTTTTTCTTGATCAGATTGCTGCTGTCTGGTGACAGCGGTAAGTGGAGAGCCTAATCTCCTTCAAGTTTCTGCTATCGCAAGGGGGGGCATACCTCGCCTATGATGTGGAAGCATGCCACCTGTGTGAAAGTTCTAGAGCCAGGGACATGTTCTGCATCTCCCACTGGGTGGTCGTCTTCGGCAATCGGCAATTTGTGTCCCCCACAACGTCAAGCCTATTTCGTCACATATGTCGTCTGAGTGGTGGTACACCTTGCATCTATGTGTCTTGCTTCGGAACTTCATCATCGCAAAACCCATTCGTTATTCATGTTCATCCCCGCACCTCTCCCTTCTCCCCTGCTGCTCTCCCTCGGACGCGACCTCCAACTGAGGAGTGAGCAAGACGTTCTGCGTCTTGATGTCTCTGTGCGCAATACCGCGGCCGTGCAGGTAGGCGATGGCCGTTCCAGATCTCTCCAAGATCTCTAGAGTCTTCCTGCGGGAGGCCAGAAGGACAAAAACATTGACAAGCACGTGAACAGCGGCATGGTATGGAGACGATCTGCGGTTCAGGCTACCTCCCTGGCCCTTGTTTCAGCGAAGTTTCTGGCAGCACCCGTTTGGTGGTCTCTGGCCTCTGGGTCCTCCTTGGCGCTGCCTTGGGCAGTCTCGAGGCTCGCTTGGGCTGCAGTGTGCCCCTCCATAAGCCCTACGTGTTGGGCTTGGAGGCCTCTTGGGGGCTGTTGGGCCGTTTCAGGCGCTTAGTGTCGCCCCGTTGGGGCCGCCTGAGATCCCCCTGAAGTCCTCCAGCAGCAGGCGCTGAGCCGAAGCCCCACCCGGAGAAGCGAAACCCATTCAAACACACAGGCGTTGTTGTTGGTGATGCTGCCTCCATCGCCCTCGGGACATGTCTTAGAGCCCCTCGAAGCCTTTCTTCTGAGACCCTGTGATGGACCCCTGTGAACCTTTTGGGGTCGCATGGAAGCCCACTGAGACGTCCCGGGGGGGCTCATCAGGAAATAGTATGCCGTCTTGGAACGCTCTTGCTGCCGTCTTGAGCCGTCTCAAACGCCTCTTGGAGCCCAGGAGGCCGAATCCGAAGATGTATATCCGATGACCCTGCGGCAACGACGAACATGATCCCAACCAAGCTACCCGCCTCCAACCAGAACGAGAATCGTTTCGCGCTGCCCATGTTGCAGCGAATCACGGCTCCTCCGGCGACCTCCCCCATCTAACTACCCGTCGGAACTCTTGGGCCGTCTTTGGGCCAGCCCAGTCCCTACACCCAAGCAGCCCAGACCACATACCGCCTCTTCGGGCCCGCTTGGGAGCCTCTTGGGGCCCTCTTGGGGCTATCTTGGGGCCGTCTCGGGGCCCTCTTGGGCCGTCTTGGGGCCCTCCTGGGCCGCCTGGGGGCCCTCTTGGACCGTCTTCGGCCCCCTTGGGGGTCCCTGGGGCCGCCTTGAGACCTGCCTTCAAATCCAGGCGTGCACCACTCCCCAATCTCAGTCATGCAACGGTTCCTCGCTATTGCGAGGGCCAACGATAGGGGGGGGATAGGCATAGGGGGGACACATCGACCTGGAATCGGCGATACATCGCCGATAGAGCGACGATAGGCCTCCGATAGCGAATCCGCACCTTCCTGGGCAGGTTGG